CCCCCAACCAAACCACACACATATGTATATGTTATCACCGAGCACTTATATCATTTCTAAACTTGTTTTGCCATAAGGATAATGTAAAATATTTCTATACAAACAGTCTATATTAGTATATATTGTAGTAGCTAGGTAAACCTACTTTATTTTCTAGTTTACTATTCTCACTTTTTATGAACGACTTATAGTCTTATATATTAATTTTTTTATTTATATCGTAATACTGATTATTCATATTTAATTACTCCCATAACCTTTTTTAATATATGCGTGAAACAGCCATAACGGTGAACGGATTTCCGTGCAAAAGGAACTTTACATTCACACCAGAAGATTTCGCATCAATGGGAATTGCACAACCAGGAGTACCCAATATTTTTGGCACTCGAGTCGGTGTAGCCGACGTTTTTAACATGCCTGGCCTTAACACACAGGGTGTATCAATGGCTCGAGTAGACTTTGAACGTGATGGTTTAAACCCCCCACATACTCACCCTCGAGCCACTGAAATTATATTCGTAAAAGAGGGTACATTAGTTGCTGGATTTATCACTACGGACAATATTTTTGTTAACAAGTTGATCACAAAGGGTGAAGTCTTTGTTTTCCCAAGAGGTCTCATCCATTTCCAGTTTAATGTTGGCAGAGGTAACGCAACTATTATTGTGGCCTTTAACAGCCAAAATCCTGGTGTTCAGCTTATTGCACTTTCCATGTTTGCGAGTAGACCTCAAATTCCAGAAGAAGTTGTGGCTAGGGCATTTCAAACTAGTGTTGAGGAAGTTCGGGCGATAAGGGCAAGACTTGCACTACCTACTGCAGGCTTACCTTCAGGCTGGGATGACCGTAACACGCACTCACAATATGATAAACGTGACGACCGTAACATGTACTCACAATATGATAAATGTGAGGATCGTAATATGTACTCACAATATGATAAACGTGACGACCGTAACAAGTACTCACAATATGATAATCGTGATTACCGTAACATATACTCACAATATGATAAACGTGAGGACCGTAACATATACTCACGATATGATATTATGTAATGACTTAAAATTATATTGTAATAGTAATAATAAATAAACGGTGGATATATATATGAATAATTTCTCAGCTTTTGCTTTTGCTTTTGATTTCTGAGAACGAATCTTTGGTGTCTTTTAAATAACGAACTAAATTGCGGTGTTAATGTCTTTGTTATCTTTATGGTAAACATAGTACTTTGATCGGTTACTAATTCCAGCTTTATTTCAAAGAAGACTTGGGTAAAATCTTTTCCGTACTTTAAAGTAATTTTTACCTCCTATAGCAAAGGTTAACACCTTATTTATTTTAAATAAATACCATTTAAAAAAATTATATTCTATAGATACCTTTTACTGTTTATAGCAAAAAATCTAAGTTTGGTACCTCCTACCCCTAAGCCACTAAATATGCTATTCAGTTACACTATTTTCTTTCTCTATCTAATTTGATACATGTCATTCTCTTCTCCCACAGAAAACTCGAACTAGAGGTTATTAACGTTCTTGGTACCCGGTTTAACACCCCAAGAGGAAAAAGAATTGGAAGGCAAACGCGGCCTTAACCAATAGGAGAGGGACTGTGGGTTAGGGAAGGGGTGGGTGGTAGGGTTACGGAGGTTGGTGGAAGAGGGGTTGGACATAGTGGGATTTCTGACGAATCGACGAGGTTTAAAGGGAAAGAAATAAGTGGGGTGAATTTGCAGATAATAGAAGTAGTGGGGTTAGAATAAGAGAAGAAAACGAAGAGAGAAAAGGCCGTGAAGATGAAGTCAGGGAAGGAGGTGGGCTTTTTGTGGAGGTGATGCTGATGCGGTTGTTGTATACACTTTGATGATTATGCCGCTGCCGCTGCCGCCGCCGATGACGCTGTACCTCCCGCCGTCAGGATGCGGAAAGATGGAAAGACGATGCCGCCCGTTTATTTTCCGGCATCAACAAAACCCTAGTCCTTCACGCCCATTCCACCGACACAGTTTTATCAGTTCACAAAAAAAACTTCCCTTCGGCATTTTCATGTATTTTAATGTATTTTCAATGTATCACGCTGTATTTTTCATGTGTTTCATTGTATTCATTGTCTTTTTTTTTCCAATTGTAATTCAATGTATCTCGCTGTATTCCATGTATTTCATTGTATTCACTGTCTTTTTTTTCATTGTATTTCAATGTATCCCGCTGTATTCTATGTATTTCATTGTATTCATTGTCTCGCTATATGCCATGAATGTATTCATATGTTTTTTTTTAATTAATATAATTTATGTATTCAGATGTATTATATAATTCCTCTGGGGGTATTTTTCGGTTGAGAATCTTTTTTATAACTGAAAATACAAAATTTGTGTGTTATAATTGAGTTTGTTGAGTTATATTAGGAGTCTATTATGTTAATTGATTCACTTTCCGTTTAAAAACAGTGTAATCCACTGTTTTACGCCGTGAATACAGTCGAATACAATAATCTGTCCAGCTGTAATCCCATGTTTAATGCCATGAATACAGTGGAATACACTCGAATACAACAACTGATTAGTTGGACTTCCTTGATTCACGCCTATTTTTGCTACTGTATTCATGAATACAGTAGCTTAAATACATCTAATACATCTTATAAAAACAGAAAACGTATCTACAATCCGTAATATAGTAAATGATATCTATAGATAACTAATTACCGCTAAAAGATCTTTATGAAAATTTCTCTACTTTAAAATCACTGAATTTCACAAATTCTCCATAAAGTATATGTTAAGGGGTCGTTTTGTTCACATGTTAGTTATGTGATGATTAATTATAATGCATGATTATTTACATCGTTATTAATAAGAAATTAAGACATTGTTATACATGATTATTTTATGTAGGGATGATTATTTTATGGATTATTTATTTAGATTTTTTCTTCTTCTAATTATGCGACCAACTAGACAATGTACTGTTTATA